TGCTGAAGTCTTCCAGTCTACAGTGTACTGCTGCAGCAGCCCGAGCAGACTCAGACAGGGGTGGACAGTGGAGGCAAGGTTCCCAGCACCGGAGCCTGGAGGGATGGTGTGCTCACAGTTGGGACAGAGAGCCAGGAAAAGGAAGAGGAGAGATTTGTTGTGGTCATCAATGGAGTAGCTCTAATTATTCTATTCTTAGGATTCACCTCCCTCAAACATAGAAATATACAAGTTAGTTATTTACATCCTAGCTATCAGAGAGACACAAATCAAAACTTCTCTCTGTAGGAAAGGCTAAATTCCAAAACACAGAGAGTAACAAATGCAGAAAATGTGGAAAGGGGATTCTTATACACTGTTGGAGGGAAGGTAAGCTAGTGCAGGACTGTGGAAAACAGTATGGAGATTTTGGAAAAAACAAGACAAACAAACAAATAACAGCAACAATAACAACAACAACAAAAAACAACCTGAAAATAGACTTGACAAATGGCCCAGCAATCCTACTTTTGGCCATATAGACAAAAGATATAAACCCATTATATCAAAGAGACACCTGCACCATCATGTTTATCACAACACTGTTTACAAAAGCCAAACCATGAAATCAACTAAGGTTGATGGATGAAAGGATAAATAAAATGGGTCACATACATACAATGGAATATTATTCAGCTATCAAAAGGAAGAAATCTTCTCGCTTGCAACAAAATGAATGCAACTGGAGGACGTTGTGTTGAGTGAAATAAGCTGGACACAGAAAGATAAATCAGTGCATACTCTCCCGTTTCGGTGGGAGCCAAAATCAAAAAAGAAACAAACAAAAAGGACAAAAAAGAAAAGAAATACCTGTGTCAACATTGCCACAAATATAGTTTTATCAAATTTTTGTTTTATATCTTCATCAAGTCAATGGTTAAGAATGTTATACTACATTTTTAATGATCTGTAACTCCTTTAAAATTTCCATGTGAGTCAAATGGCCATTTTTCCAATGGACTATTGTTTATATCCCTTGGCTATGTTCCCTGCTAAACTAAACTTATTAAACTTCTTATCTGGCAGAGCACTAAACCCTTGACTGTAATATAAATTTAAAAATGTATTGTCTTAAAATCTAAAGAACAAAAGGAAGACAGGAGGAAGGTAAGGAGAAAATATTATAAGAATTGTCCATGAGGAATATTAAATTTGTTAAAAAAAGATAACTTATAAATATTTTAAAAGTAAAAAGAGAAATTTTTTAAAAGAGAGGAGATAGTTGTAGCACTGGGCATGGCGGTTCTTCAAGGTCTCACATTTCTGAGCACAGGGCCCCAAGGACTTTAGCCACCCTCTACTTCCTTCACAGGCCATAAGCAGGGAGCTGGATTGGAAGAGCAGCTGGGACTTGAACCGGCACCTACTGGGATGCTGGCACCACAGTTGGAGGCTTAGCCTACCATGCTAGCCCCTCAAACAGTAATTTAGAGTCACCTATTTGGGCAGGCATTTGGCCCAGCAGCTGAGACAGCACCCGGGTTTGTGTCCTACCCCCACACTCGTCTCTAGTTTCATGCGAATGTGCATCCTGGGAGGCAGCCAGTGAAGGCATCAGTAGCTGGATCCCTGCCACCAATGTGGGCGATCCATATTGAGTTCTGGGCTTTGGAGGAAACAAGGGTATGGGATATCTCTTGTTAAGAAAGAAAACGTAAAACCATGAATTCAATAAATGCATTGAATCCCCTAGCCATGATGGCCACTGTCCCTATCCTGGACTACAGAGGCAATGCGATTTATTCTCTGTCCTCAAGAAATGTACAGTACAGGGCCTGGTGCGGTAGCCTAGCAGCTAAAGTCCTCACCTTGCACATGCTAGAATCCCATATGGTCGCCGTTCTAATCCCAGCAGCCCTGTTTCCCATCCAGCTCCCCACTTGTGGCTTGGGAAAGCAGTGAAGGATGGACCAAAGCATGGGGACCCTGCACCTACCTGGGAGACCCAGAAGAGACTCTTGGCTCCTGGCTTCAGATTGGCTCAGCTCCCACTGTTGTGGTGGCTTGGGGAGTGAACCATTGGACAGAAGATCTTCCTCGCTGTCTCTCCTCCTCTCTGTTTATCTGCCTTTCCAATAAAAACAAATAAATCTTAAAAGAAGAAAGAAATGCACAGTACAGAGGGGAGAAACAGTTCTCGCCTTTGTACAGCTAGCACACTTGTTAGAAAAACCAATTTCTTCTTCCCACGTTTAAAGACCTGCAACTAGGAAGTCAACAGGCAAAATCCCACACAGTTCAATCAAGTACTAGCTAACTAACGTGAGCAACCGTGGTACTGATCTGAGGTTTAGGATCTTTACCTGTAAAATAGAATTAATAATACTACCCAGCAGAGTTGTAAAAGGCAGAGCACCACCTCAATTCGAGGAGTTACAGGCCTACTTCTCTTTGGTGATTTAGCTCCCTACCAACTAATTACTAATAAATATTGGCAAGCCTTATACGCTTCAGATTTAGAAAATCTTCAGAAAAATTCATTTCAGGTCAATAGTAACTTTTCTGAAAAACCTACTTTGTGCAAGTAACTGTTGAAAGCACTGGAGAAACAAGAGCTATGAGGCAAGTCCTGCAACCGAAGGCTGCGCTCACTTCAACACAAACTCTACAGACAACTTCTGAATACTTTCTTGCCTCCTCTGTTGCCTAAAACTGTACAAAAGGGACAAAAGCAAGAGTTCGCAGAAGTTTTACTAAACACTATTGTACCTCAAAAGAGTCCATACGTTAGAATGCGGCCATAAGGCGGGCCCTAATCCAATCTGACTAATGTCCTTGTAAGAACAGAACACTTGGGCACACGAGTAGACATCAGGGGTTCATGCAGGAAAGGCAGTGTCAGGAGACAGAGGTGGCCATTGGCAAGCCAAGGAGAAAAGCCCAGAAGGAATCAGAGCTGCTTGCTGACACCTTCATCTTGGACTTTCAACCTCCAAAACTGTGAGAACATAAAACTTCCGTTGTGTAAGCCACCATCCGTAGTTTTGGTTACAATGTCCAGAACAGACTAATACAGCTTTTTCACAGCTCTCATAGCCAGATCTAAGACCCTACATCTGAAGGGGACACACAGAATAACCAAGGACCAAAGAAAAAGCCAGAAGATGAGCCATTAGCCCACACTGGGTTTAAGTGGCTGCCACACCCTCAGTCCCATCCTTGTCTCATGGCACCAACTCACTTAGCCTATTCTGTGTTGCTTATTGCAGAACACCTGAGATTGGGTCATTTACATATAAAACATAAAATGTATTTCTTATAGATTTGGAGGCTGGGATTTTCAGGAGCCTGGAGCTGGCATGTGGCCCGGGTCTCTGCTCCCTAACATGATGGAAGGACACTACGCCCTTGGGTGACACCCACACGACAAAGAGCCAGAGTTTGACTTGCCTTTATAAAAACCGTCTCTCGATAACTAATCCCTACCATGATAACAACTTTAGAGGGACAACCCTCATTTCCTATCTAATCACCTCTTAACACAATTAAATCTCAGCATGAGAGTTTTGGGGAGACATTGAACCATATCAGCAAATGGCCTGGATACAGTCTGGAGCTGTTCTCCCCAAGTTGGAGGTTGCAAGCGGCTTTTTGACATTTGCCTCCCCTTCCCAGGCTGTATTTGATATTTATAAAATTTTCAAAAGATTTTAGCTGGAAGAAGATCCCCAGATTTCTCTCTTTATTTGAACTCTTAGTATCTATGATGATAACATAATGAGATCAAATTATTGGTCAACAATGGATAAAAAGGTCATTCAAATAAGAATCCGGCTAGCCACAGAAAAGCTACATTTGAAGCCTGGTTCTAAAGCCAGGGAACCACTCTGCTTTTGTTTTGTTTATAACAAACATGTCAATCTGTATGCACAAAAAACATGCATCTTTCAAAAAGAGCCAATCTGGAAAGTTCTAACCACATCCTTGTTCCCACACACATCTGGAGTTGTCCTCAGGCTCTGTGAAATAATCTCTCAAATGTTCCCAACAGTGACACCTCAAGGTAGATCTGGTTTTCAAAAGCAACCAAGGGTTCTTCTGTACCTAGGCTGGAGTGCCAGGGGACCTGTGGAACTATGGGATTCCACGAGGATTGACTCCCAAATACGTGCCCTGATCTTCCTTGAGTAAATCCTAACTCACAACCTTAGAAGGTCATTTTCAATGACAAAGCTCAGACGTGAAGTAAACATGTTAGGGGCATGACATCAAGCTGAAGCTCAGGAGAGCAGCAGCAACCACACTGAAGAAAATCCTGCATTTTCGGAAATGAATGATTCCTACGGTTTCCTCGACCCAGAACATTTACTCAGGCCAAGATCTACCCTATGTCACGAGACTTCAAGTTCAGGGGCCCTACTGTCCCAGTCGCATCTTAATCTCCGAAGTGGGTACTTGATGCATGTTGCAGCCATAGCTGATGCGAAGTTAAATACGGAGAAGAATCTAAGGTGCCTGGGGCTGCCTCTCCCTGACTCCAAAACAGAACTCTGGAAATCCAAATGTCTGCTCCACGTAAGGGAGACACTGTCAGCAGCAGGAGCTGTCCAGCAATAGATTGTTTGTTTTGAACACTCCAAGCTTCTAGCAGTGGAAGAGTTGTAAGGAAAGGCTGTTTGCTTAGAGAACCTGCAGAGGTGCTCATTGTGATGGGTAAGGAGCCTTGCAATGACGCCCCGGGCCATCGGGACTGCAACCTGCACAAACCGGAAACTTCTCAGGCCCATGAAAACCGCTAGTGGAACAAAATAAACGAGGGATATGGTACATCTTGTGAGGCGAGAAGGGAAAACACTGGGGCTCACAAGATGTACTGCAAGGAAAGTAGGTAGAAAAAAGTGCAAGAGCACAGAGGGGGTGGGAGGGCGTGTAGGACATACAGGAGAGAACTGGCTTTGGGCAACAGAAACTTCACAGGGGATAGGAGCTGAGGGTCTAGGGTGGGACAGACCATTGCTCACCTTTCTTAAATTCCTCCAACACCGTGTCCAGGCGTGTATCATTGAAGACACAGTGCAGGGGCCGGTTGTAGAAGCGGGTGACAGTGAGAAGTGGGGTGCAGTCGTCGGGGTCCACAAAGGCCAAGTCCTTGACAAACAGAATGTCCACAATGTTGTGCCGCTGGTCGCCTTCGTACACCGGGATGCGAGTGTAGCCACTGCGCAGGATCTCGGAGACAGTGGCGAAGTCCAGCACGGCGTCGGAGCGCAACATGAAGCAGTCCCCGAGCGGGGTCAGAACCTCCTCCACCACCTTGGTGCGCAGCTCCAGCGCGCCCTGGATGATGTTAAGCTCCTCCTTCACAAGGTCGCTGTAGGGGTCTGCCGCCCGCAGTGTCTCCAGCAGCTTCTCCCGCGTGTAGAAGGTGCTGATCTCCTGGCGCAGTGCCCAGTCCAGCAGGCGACCCAGAGGGTAGCACACGGGGAAGGCGGCCGCCATGAGGAGCCGGGTCAAGCACACGCTGTGAGACGCAATGGCCAGCCCGTGGCGCGAACAGACGGAGTAGGGGCAAATCTCAGCCCCCAGGAACACGGCGCCGGTGCACACGAGCGCAGGCAGCCACGGGAAGTGAATCCCCGCCTCGACGTAGTCTTCGCCTGGGCCCCCGACGCCCGGAGGCAGCGAGGCGTACAGCCAGCCGGCTAGGGCGGCGTTGGCTCCGGCTTGGCCCAGGAGCAGGGTGCAGAGCAGATGGGTGCCCCTGCCGCGCACGGCCTGCACGCGGCGCGCCTGCTCCTGCTCGGCGGCCGAGCCGCTGTTCCGCAGCACCCGTAACTCCACCGGGTCCAGCGAGAGCAGGCTGAGGCGCAGGCCGCTGAACAGGGCAGACAGGGCCAGCAGCAGGAGCGCCCCGAGCGCCCGCAGCCACGCGGGGGGCAGCAGGTCCCCACCCGGGCCATAGAGCCGCGGGCGGACGCGCAGCAGGAAGCCGCCGGCGGCGCCGTGGTGGTGCCAAGCGCGCCCATCCCAGGCGCACAGCGAGAAGAGCTTCCCGCCACCGCCCGCGCCGACCCGCTCTGCCTCGCCTTTGCGCAACTCCCGCACCCGCACCTGGACCAGGGCAGAGCCCGCCACGCCCCCGGGGCGCAGGGGCCCGAGGACTTCCACATCCGACGCCCAGTCGCTCTGCTCCCGGCAGCGCTGCGGTCCCGGGGGCCGCGTAGGCACTGAGCTGGGCGCCACGCCGTTCCCGCCTGGAGGCTCCTCGATAAACACGAGCCTCGGAGCCCAGTCGCCGGTGCCGTTCTCCCCCGGAGAGAGGGTGGGTGAGGGCACTGGCGCTGAGGGCGCTGAGGGCCCGGGCTGGAAATAGACGCGCAGGAGGAAGCTGGTGCCTTCGGCCGCGCGCAGAGTGCCCCCTTCCAGAGACACGCGGCCTCCAGCAGTGTCCTCAGGCCGCAGGCCCAGCAGCCAGGCGGCGGCGGCTGGAGGCCGAGGAGACAGGGAGAAGAAGAGCAGGAGCACGGCGCCCCGGCTGCAGCAGTCCCGGAGCCTGACACCCGGCGCGGCTGCTGCCGCCGCCATCCTGCACTTGGCGCGGCTGCACGTGATACTGCAGAAAGCCTAACAAGAGAGAGCCGGAGGGAGGAGGAGCCGGAGCCCGGAACGCAGCTCCAGGCAGGTCACCACGTGTGCGCCCTCTACGCGCGTGGGCTGGAGGCTGTGGAGGCACAGACGCTGGCGGGGCAAGGTGCTGCGGTCGGAGGCTGGAGATAGCCACGCATCGGTAGGCACAGTGCATAGCCCCATGCACTTGGGTATATCTAAGCTGCAGCCTGAGGAAGGCTTCGCTTGGCCTGCCCCCATTCCCCCCCAGCGGTACCGCGCTCCGCCGCACCGCGAACTCCTACCCGGCAGTAATTCCCTGCCCGTCCTACGGCTTCCTCATTGGTCCGGGAAATATCTCAGTGTTTCCCGTACCTTCTTGCTACTTGGCTTTTTCCCTTTCAGTCAAAAGATGTTGTGGAGGCAAAGTCTGGAGCCGATGAAAACCTTTTTAGTGATTAGCATCGAGTCCAGCTGTCCTTTTGTGTTGTAAAAATTTGCAAATTATTTCAGCCCAAATCCTCGGAAAGGTCAGAGTCTAGGGTGTCATGGTGACATTAGGGGTTAAGCCTCAGCCTGTGGATTGGGCATCCCTTATGGGAGCCAGTTTGAGTCCTGGCTGCTCTGCTTCCCTTCCAGTTCCCTGTTAACAAGCCTAAGAAAGCAGGAACAGATGTCCCAAGTAAACCTTGCCACCCACATGGGATAAATGCCCGACTCCTGGTTTTGATGTGGCCCATTCTACACTGTTCCAGTTGTTTTGGGCTATGAAACAGTAGATAGATCTATTTCTACCTCTCCCCCTTGTGTCTCTACCTTTCAAATATCTACTTTTTTTTTTTTAAGGTTAGAATCTCTATCAATAAGGAACAGGAAGTAAATGATGATACCACTGTGCAGTGGAATACTATACAACAGGAAAAAGACCGAGGTGGATCTATTGCATTTGTCACGATGAAAATGTGCCTCCCCGAGTTCTCATCAGCAGGAAGCTGGAGCTGGGAGCAGGGCTGGCTGGAATCTGTAGTAAAACTCACTTTTTGGTGTGCTGTCCTATGAGCCTTGACAAGTACAAACTCATGATGCCATCATGGCAATCAAAACCAGTTCCATCACCTCCCTAAATTCTCTTGCTGTCTTCTTGCAGTCAGCCCCTCCCACGTGCCTTTTTGGAAACTGCTTATTTGTTCTCCCCTATAGTTTATATTCTCTGAATGTCAAATAAGCTGAACGACAGAGTGCATGCCCTTTCTGAGACTGGCTTCCTTGACTAAGTACAATGCATGTAAGACGTATCCATGTTATGTTTATCAATAATTCGTCCTTTTTTTAAAAGGGGGATTTATTGATTGATTTGTTTGGAAGGGAGGGGGACAGAGTGAGACAGATCTTCAGGTTCACTCCCTGAATGCCTGCAGTAAGCCAAGGCTGGGCCAGGCTGAGGCCGGCAGTCTGGAACTCCATCCACATCTTGCGTGTGCGTGGCAGTGCCCAAGCACTTGGGCCATTCTCGCATGCCTCCCCAGGTATATCAGCAGGGAGCTGGGTGAGAGGTGGGACTCTCACAGCTGGGACCCCAACTAGCACTGCAATGAGGTGCCAGTGTCACAGGAAGCGCCTAAGTCACTGTGTCACTCTACTGGCACACTGTGGCTGAGTTGTATTTTATTAAATGGATGTGTAAACCTGTTTACCCACATAACGAACACTTCCAATTAGGGGCAATTATAAAGAAAGTGGTTGTAAATGTTTGTGTATAGGTTTTTGTGTGAATATAAGTTCTGATTTCTCTTGACTGAATTTACTATCAATATACATTACAATTTTTCTCTCTTTTTTTCAAAGATTTATTTTTTATTGGAAAGTCAGATCCACAGGGAGAGATTGCTTCTCGGCCTTTTGGCTAAGATCAAGTGTAGATTCACAGGGAGAAGGAAACACAGAGAGAAAGACTCTCTGTCTGCTAGTTCACTCTCCAAGTGGCCACAATGGCTAGAGCTGAGCTGATCCGAAGCCAGCAGCTTCTTCTGGGTCTCCCACGCTGGTGCAGGGTCCCAAGGCTTTTGGCCATCCTTTACTGCCTTTCCAGGCCACAAGGAGGGAGCTGGAAGGGAAGCGATGAAGCCAGAATATGAACCAGTCCCCACATGAGTTCCTGGGGGATGTGAGGGGAGGACTTCAGCCACCCAGCCACACTGGACCCTGCATTACTTTTTAATTTATGTTTACAGACATCACAAGTTGTAAAAAATTTTTATTTTGAATTGCGCAAAAATAGTCTATAGAGTATAATGTGCTTTTTTACAGCTTTATTTATTTGAAAGTTAGAGTTGCAGTGAAAGGGCTAGACCTTCCATCCACTGGCTCGTGCCCCAGAGGCTGGTATGGCCAGGGCTAAGCTGTGCTACACAGATAGATGGGGTTCTAATCTGAAGAGAAACCATTGAAAGTGTAGGGGAGAGAACTGGTGTAAGCATGTGATAGTTTTTTTTTTCTTTTTAATTTGAAACATAGGGTTGAAGGGGGGTGGGAGAGACAGAGAGAAAGAGTGTACAAGCCCATTGCCTGCTGGTAAGCCCCACAAATGCCAACATTAAGACTGGGCTAAAACAGGCTGAGAGCCAGCATCTGGAAACTCAATCCAGGTTTCCCTGTGAGTGACAGAGATCCAGTGACTGGAAGTAGGATCTGAAACTGTAATGGGACTCTAACGCAGGGACTCTGATGTGAGATGGGGCATCTTTTCTTTTTCTTTTGAGAAGGGGCTACCCCATTCCCTGGTTCACTTCCCAAATGCCCAGCACAGCTGGGACTGGGCCAGCCCAAAGCCAGAAACTGGGAATCAGTCTAGCCTTGCAGAATCTGTGTTATAAGGAAACTTGAATTGGGAGTCAGAACCAGGACTGGAACCCAGGAATCTTAACTGCCAGACCAAATGCTTAGTCCTGGGATTATATATATATTTTATTATTTCATACACACACAAGAGCCCTGTGAAGATGATATACTTACAAATATACACATTTTACGGAGCTGATTAATTGAACTTTTTTGGATTCTAGATTGATGCTCCCTTCCATTTTGCAGAGCTGGCAAACACCAAAATGAAACTTTTCAAAAATAACACAGTAGTAATTAAAAATATCTAAATTTCTAATTATAAAGTAGATGTCATTGAAAATAATTTTTAATAAAGAAACCCATAAGATAAAACTAAGTCATAACTCTATCCATGATAAACATTGCTAATGTTTTGGCATAATTCCTTTTATTTTCTACAAAGATGAGCAACAAGTACATACATGAGGTCACCATATATTTGTATATTTTATAATTCAGTATATTACACTTATAATTCTTGCCTGCTTCTGTCACATAGCATATTATGAACTCCACTACATATATAATAGCAAATTCTCTCAGAGACATATATATTTTTACTTAAGTTTTGTATATATACACAAATTCACTCAAAACAGCTTTTCAAAAAGGTCATGGAAAATACATGTTATAGAAAACCTATGCATGGATTTCAAACTTTTGTTACCACAAAATAAACTTTTTTTTTTTTTTTTTTTTAAAGATTTATTTTTATTATTTTTTCATTGGAAAGGCGGATATACAGAGAGAGGAGAGACAGAGAGGAAGATCTTCCGTCCGATGATTCACTCCCCAAGTGAGCGCAACGGGCCGACACTATGCCGATCCGAAGCCAGGAGCCTCCTCTGGGTCTCCCACGCGGGCGCAGGTTCCCAAAGCCTTGGGCCGTCCTCGACTGCCTTCCCAGGCCACAAGCAGGGAGCCGGAAGGGAAGCGGGGCTGCCGGGATTAGAACCGGCGCCCATATGGGATCCCGGGCGTGCAAGGCGAGGACTCAACCACTTGCGCCACCGCGCCGGGCCCAAAATAAACTTATTTTTAATTTCATTTTCTATGAACTTCTTGAAGTCACTTGTAAGAATGAGCCTATGGTTAAGAAATGTTAGGCTTAGGAAAATGAATTCACATTTCTGGGCCAATTCCTCATCTGTGAAATGATAGACAGTTTTATGTGTCAGGTGTCAGCGAGCAAAGTTTAATGCACCCTGGGTATAGATAACCTGGAGAGCCCGAGTACTTTTCCTTCGACTGAACAGGAGGGTGTGGAAAAGTACTGGGTTTCAAGAGCTCTGCTGTAACTGAAAGGATTCTTGCAGACAGGTTTTCTGGCTGTGTGATTGTCCTAAGGAAGAGCTGCCAAAAATAGCTCCCCACAGCCTAAATGTTCACTCCCTTAGTAGCTTATAAGACAGATACTTCCTCGCTTCTCAGTTGAGTGGAGGAAATAATGCCAGCCTCTACTGTTATGACTATCAGAATGCATGTGTCTAAATGCTTTTGTTGGCCACACCGGAAGAGGCATGTCCAGGCCTGTGCTGAGCACAAAGGTGCTGTTATACGGAGTCTAGTGTGATCTCTGTGAATTTTACTGGCTGCAGAAATGGCCAGATCCTACCACTTTGCCGCCAATTGGACTGGTTTTCAGAAGATCTTGATTCTTCAAATTGGATTTCTTTGCTGCAAATATGGTTGGTCAGGAATTTTTTTTTAAGCTTTATTTATTTATTTGAAAGGCAGTTACTGAGATGAGAGACTCAATCTTCCATCTAGTGGTTCACTCCCCAAATGGTCACAATGGCCAGAACTGGACCAGTCTGAAGCCAACAGCCAGTGGTCAGCAGCCAGGAGTTTCTTCTGGATTTCTCACGCAGGTGCAACTGCCCAAACACTTGGGGAGCTGAATCAGAAGTGGAGCAGCCAGGACTTACACTGCTGCTCACATGGATGGTAATGCCACAGACAAGGGGCTTTACCAGCCAAGGCACAGCACCAGTCCCTGGTCAGGAATTTGAGTGACTCAAATGGAATCAAATGGGCTCACAGTCCTTGACTGTGACCCTACTGTATCTGCAGAGAGTTCCTCTAGGATGCCCTGGTGTGAGACTGTTGGATCATAGAAAA